CTCTAAACGCCAGTTTGGTACACGGCTAAAAGAACATCAAAAGGCTGTTTCAACTTTAGACAAGGGAAAATCAGCTTTAGCCGAACATGTATGTTACACCAAACACGAGATTGCGTGGGAAAACTCTAAAGTAATTACCATTTGCCTAGAAGCGTGGCATATAAATATGAGTCATCATGCTTTGAATAGGGATGACGGTGCCTATTTGCCAGAGGAATATATGCATCTTCTTGGCAGGTGACGTCATCCCTTGGGTATTTAAGAAGCCACGATCGCAGTTTTAGATCACCCCTGATGAAGACACTAGACTGGAGTGTCGAAACGTTGGGTCTTGATTACAATTCGACTGGGCTTTGTAATCATTTATTTAAACCTGCTACTAACCCTTAACAAAGGACCTTCGCTCGAAACGTTGAGTTTCTGCTTATTTTTTAAGGTAGTAATATAACCACTCAGCACAGCATTTTTTTTATTAATGTTATATCCATCTTTCAGACTACTGGAGTGTAAGACTGTTTGTAGTATTTCCCTCTAAATTGAAATTGTGTGGAGTTTAAACAAAATGCCAACATATCACATATATCGGGCTTAAAACTGTTTGGCTATTCAGTGTTGAATCATTATTTAATCGATCTTTTGCTATCTCAATGACCAATTCAGTGGGTGTGGATGTAAATAGAGAGATGACATCGATATCAGTCATTTTGAGGCTGTTTCAAACGTCAATAAAAAAATATACCATTAATAATAGTATTATTATATACAGACCAAAACAAAGCCGTTGTACCATGACTTAATGGCCTTGTTTCGTTCAGTATATTAGCAGTACCCAAACGAAGCTGTTATTCCATGACATATCCGCCTCATTTCGTTCAGTATATTAGCAGGACCCAAACGAAGCCGTTATTTCATGACTTAACAGCCTCGTTTCTTTCAGCATATTAGCAGCGTCAAAGCGAAGCCATTATTCCATGACTTAACAGCCTCGTTTCTTTCAGCATATTAGCAGCATCAAAGTGAAGCTGTTATTCTATCACTTAACGGCTTCGCTTTGTTCAGTATATTATTGGTATCAAGACGAGCTGTTATTTCATGACTTAATGGCCTCGTTTCATTCAGTAAAAATATAACTAAAGATGCTATTTTGATAAAAAAATTTTTCATATAAACATAAAAGCTTCAAACACGATAAAATTGATTTTTAAACTTGTCAGATTTTCAAACTTGTTGGCTCCATTTCTCCAAGTTTGAAAATCAAACAAGTTTTAAAATCAAGAAAATAAAACAAGTTTTAAAATCAAGTCTCAAATATATGCATCATTCCCATACTTACCGTTGCCGCCAACAAGGATGAATTTCGTTTTCGACCAATCAGCGCATTTGTTTACGTTTTGGCGCCAAGCCAATCATAATGTGTAACTGTTGTTTACTTCCAGTTAAAACATAAATTTCAATTCAAAAAATAGGGTCTTAAATAAAGCCTGGGGGGTCAGGATTTTTGTTCGTTTTCATTGAATGTAACTGAATCAAGTAATATATAAAATTTTTGAAAAATTTGCCGGTGGGATTTGTGTTTAATGGCATAGTTTTAAAATTATGTGCATTTGAACAACGGTGCACACAAGGAGACGTTTGTGTGCATGTAAAAATCTTAGTGACTAAAAATAGACATAACGTGTCATGTCGTGTGGACACCGAAGGAAGTGAGAGAGCATGCATCAAAGTGGAAATAGTTTTATAGTTCTGACTCTGGTTCTGAAGATTCGGCCACTTGGGAAAGAAGCATTTTCGAATTTCCAATCAGATGGCGAATGGTAATTTATATATGGGTTATAATGGCCATATTTGTTAATGCAGAACATTAAAAACAATAACATATGACTCACAATGTCGCAATTTAATGGTTGGGTGGCTGAACATGTTGCCAAGAAGTAATTCTTGAGATAAGGCTTCTAATTGTGCGTTCGTCGTTAGTGGATTGTTCATTGACTTCATGATTGAACTCATGATCAATGTCTTTGTCCTTGCTCATTTTGCCATCATCATTACTCATGTCCTCTTCATCATTATCCGTTTGAGCAGAAGATGCCATGGTGAAATTTATGACAGTGCTGTTTGCCGTTTTGCCCAAGCTCACCGCTTTTGACTCACGAAGTTATTTACAAATGGGACATACACTGATATCTGGGAGGTTACATTCAAGGTGGAAGGAGTGTCCACAGTCTCGAAAAAATGCACCACAATAGACTAATTCGGGACATACATAATTCGATCTTGTCACATTTACTGTTTCAATGAAAATTAAAGGTACAATATTTTATGATTCATATTTAGCTTATACTACGGTTTACGGGATATTTAGCTGCTTTGGTATTGGTATTGTATTTCTGTTTGCTGGTAGTCGTGTAACAGGAGTTGGTGTCATTCGGTTTCAGGGTCAAAGTACTTGGCTAGCACCCAATCTGGCATATTTGTGGCATAGCTCTGTGATAGACCAGCCATATTGCTAACAATCTGTGAATTTGTCGATACAACTGTTCAGGCTGAACTGGAGTGGGGGGTAACAAAGGTGTGTGAAGACCTTCCTTCAAGATGGTTTTAACATTTGGGAACACTTTTACTAACAACATGCTCATATGAACTGCTTGTGTTTGTGTTTTTGCTTCAGGATGATGTTCTGTGTGAATGTTATGGTAGTCATCTATGCAGAACACAAGAAAATGTTCATTTTCCACCACTTCCTGAAAGAAACTGGTAACATTATCTAAATGAAAAGCAGCAGACGATTGTGTTGCAGCCTTGACTGTACGGGGATGTGCTGCTACTCCAAGATTCCTTAAGGACGCCAAACCTTGGTCCCTTATACCAAATTGCTGGAGTGTTCTGGAAAGTGTTATCTGGAACCAGTTAGCTCTTTGAGAATGTGAGTACATAATAGTGTATGTCACCACCATGGTGCGAAGTTTGGTAATATACAATTACTTTATGGTTTCCGTGTTTGGATGGCCTGATCCAAACACTTGGGAATGTTGCGAGAGTTAAGAAAAGCGAGCAAAACACGAGCCGAAGGCAAGTGATTTTGCCCGCTTTTCTTAACTCGAGCAACATTCCCAAGTGTTTGGATCAGGCCATCCAAACACGGAAACCATAAAGTAATTGTTTTATAAAATAACAACAACACAATATCTTCCGTGTTTGGATGGCCTGATCCAAACACGGCTTTCGACCAATCAGAACACGTGTTATATACATGTTATTTTATAAGATGTTTTCTTTCATCTGAAATTCTATAAGAGCTCATTGCATCAAATAAAACTTTAAACAGCTCATCTGCACCGACCTGGTTGCAATTTTTTTCAAATTCACTGGGATCCATTTCCGGACATTGGTTGAAAACATTTGAAAAATAGCAACATAATTTATCCAGATCTTTCTTGAAGTCAACAACTGTTGACGTAGCTGTTTATACTCATCCTTGAAAATATTTAGATATAGTAAATCAAATCCAATCTAACATGTCTCGTAAATTGTTCACTTGTGGTATTTTTATTGATTTGCAAAAGGCATTTGACACTGTAAACTATTCAATACTTTTAGAAAAATTGCATCATTATGGAATAAGAGGCATCATAAACGATTGGTTTTCCTCTTACCTGTTAGGTCGTATCCAAACTATTCAAATGGGTGTAGATATATCTGAAAAAGAAGAAACTCTTTCTGGCGTTCCTCAGGGATCTGTCCTGGGACCGCTACTATTTTTAATTTATATAAATGATATTTATAACTCCTCTGATAAGCTGACGTTTTCCTTATTTGCAGATGACACCAATTTATTATACGCTGACAAGAATTTAAAAACACTAGAAAATATTGTCAATACTGAACTTCTTAATATCTATAACTGGTTAACAGCCAATAAATTATCCCTAAACATAAAAAAATCTAATTTCATTATTTTTCATTCTTACCAAAAACGGCTGGATTATGCGGTAGATTTGAAGATGTATGATGCACAGTCCAATACTTTCGTCTCACTAGCAACTAAAAATTACATTAAATACCTTGGTGTTCTCATGGACTCAAATCTTTCATGGAAATTTCATATTGGGTACATCGCCTCTAATCTTAGCAAACGAATTGGCATAATTGCTAGGCTGTGTCATTTTGTACCAGTTAGTACACTAATAAGTATCTATAAGTCCTGTATGCTGCCTTACCTAACTTATGCTATTGTTGTATGGGGATGTGCTGCCAAATGTTACATTGATAAAATCCTTAAACTCCAAAAACGTGCTCTTCGTTTAATATATTCTGCACACTATCTGTCTCATGCTATTCCTTATTTTCTGTCAGCTAATGTTCTGCCAATAAATTTGCTCTATTGCAAATCAGTATCAATACTAATGCATGGCGTATCAAGTTCAGTAGTACCCCCAAATATTTCTGCTTTGTTTACCCCATTAAGTCAGGTACACGAACACAACACCAGATCTTCCACTAGGAAGAACTTCCACGTTGAATATTCAGGTTTAGATGTGCAAAGCAAATCATTCTTAAGAATGGGAGGTAGAATTTGGAATAGCATTCCTACAGAACTACGTGAAAAATCAAAGAATCACTTTAAAAAAGTTTTACATAGAAAGTTACTTCAAATATTAGAAAAGAAAGACGACTATATTGATATTCTAACAATACAAAAAGAAATTACTTTATGATCTTGAATTTAAGTCTGATCATTCGTTAGACATTATGTTTGTATATATGGTGAATGTATTTCTATCATATATATGCCTTTTGGTGATGAATAGAGCTTGTATTTACTAATGAATTTTGAAATCTTCTTTAATTCCAAATGTGTGTAGTTGCTGTCCACCACGATTAGCTTTTGCTATTTGTGGACAGCAACATTTTATTGATTTTGTAAATTAATTTGACTTAATAAATTGAATTCAATTGACCATTTGCGTAATAGACTAAATTTTGATCTCAGCAAAAATTTCATTACAGCTTGAAAGAGCATCACAAAATTAGTAATATTCCAAAGTTTCGTTACAAGATGTTGTAAAATGCGGAAAATATAGCCTTGCGAAATTTGCAATTTCCAGTCATTTTAGATTACAAACCGGAAATTGACAGCCCCAAACCCTTTGAGGCTGTCAATTTTCCGTTTGTAATCTAAAATGACTGAAAATTGCAAATTTCACAAGGCTATATTTTCCGCATTTTACAACATTTTGCAACGAAACTTTGGAATATTACTAATTTTGTGATGCTCCTTCAAGCTGTGATGAAATTTTGGTCTAGACTTGTTTAGTTCAAAAGTTAGTCTATTACGCAAATGGTCAATTGAGGCCAGTCACTGTGTTGAGCTCTAACCACAAGTTCATGTATATATGCTAAGGTGATGTAATGCTAAGGTGTATGGGTATTGGGTAAATACCAGGGTTTTTAGGCATTTTACTCATCTTTCAAGTGGAAATGTTCGAGTCTAATAAATGTGTAAAATTTTGCACTAGAAAATTTCCATGAACCAAACCTTCCATAAATGTATACGGCAGTTCTACTTCTTCGTTTACTAAAAAAAAGTACGCTCTTCCATCACAGTGTGATCACGCACGACACCCATGTGAGGATTTATAAATAACGCTTCCTATAATGTATGAACAGTAATGAGAAATGAGTAGAATTGTTTTAAAATATTTTCACCGCAGTAATTACTGTCTAACCAATTAAGCAAGAGATTCTGTCATCTTTGGGTGTGCCTTAACCTTCAATGATAGCCAAAGATCAATGAAAGATAAAGCGATGTCCATCATTAACGCCATATATAACCATATAACCACACTCTCAATGATACCCGGCTTTCTTCACTGTGGCTGCTTTCCAATTAAGCGTATTTCATACGTAAGTATACGCACGAAACAGTTTAAGTCCTTCTAAATTTTATAAACGTACTAATTACCTGTATCCTTTTACTTCAATACACACCAAATCATACACACAACTAAATGAAGGATGCCCGTTCGCAGGTTGGAAATTTGAAGACCAAGCAAGTGTAAAGGGCAACCTCGTTCCCAGGAACGAGCTTGGTGTGGGGTACCATTATAATTCACCCTCTTCAAACCATGATCAAATATCTTAAAGACTATAGGGGTGTGTCGGCGTCACCATTTGAGTCCCAGGACAACAACACATGTTCCAGTTAATAATAGAGACGGGGTTTCGTCATACCCCTATACCTTATAACCGTGGCTATAAAGTATGCCTGTTTTAGGCATACCTCGAGTCAGGGCTTGTGGCTATAAAGTATGCCTGTTTTAGGCATACCTCAAGCCATGGCTTGTGGCTATAAAGTATGCCTGTTTTAGGCATACCTTGAGCCATGGCTTGTGGCTATAAAGTATGCCTGTTTTAGGCATACCTTGAGCCATGGCTTGTGGCTATAAAGTATGCCTGTTTTAGGCATACCTCAAGCCATGAGTTGTGGCTATAAAGTATGCCTGTTTTAGGCATACCTCAAGCCATGGCTTGTGGCTATAAAGTATGCCTGTTTTAGGCATACCTTGAGCCATGGCTTGTGGCTATAAAGTATGCCTGTCTTAGGCATACCTTGAGCCATGGCTTGTGGCTATAAAGTATGCTTGTTTTAGGCATACCTTGAGCCATGGCTTGTGGCTATAAAGTATGCCTGTTTTAGGCATACCTCGAGTCAGGGCTTGTGGCTATAAAGTATGCCTGTTTTAGGCATACCTTGAGCCATGGCTTGTGGCTATATAAAGTATGTTACTTCAAAAGATCATGAAAGCCTTGGTTGATCACCTTAAACCTTTGGAAACATTTGAAAACCAATTATTTTTCAATATATTCATCCAATAATTCAACTCAAAGAACTCGAAGGAACAAAAACACATTATATTACATATTAAATTGGTAAACACAAATTTTGATATTGATATTTTAACATAATATATCTTTTCATACTTATATCTTCTTTAAATACATTATTTGGTTTAAAATTAGTAAATATTAATATTTATTTATTATTTATGGAGTCTCATAGAGACGATATAGAAAGTGCCATGTTCTTTTGGTCCGATGCGAGTTTAAAGACGTTGGTACATAGAAGTTGGAAATGTTCACTAATTTGTTCAACGTTTTGTTAGTTTATTGTATTTTGGGCAAGAATATGATAGAATTGCTGCACTGAAGGACCTGCTGAAGCAATGAAGGACCTCCTCATAGGTTTTGGTTTGCGCATTTCTGCACGTCGCTTTGATCTAAAACGTCCGAAAATCTTTATTGATCCATTTCTAACTTTGCAAACAAGTTATTGGGGAATTTGTTTGAAGTTTAATGCTAACCTAGGATGACCAGCTTCCGACTCCTGGTCATTGGCATTTTCCTAATGTTCTATGCTCCCAGTAGAAGAAAGTATACCTTCTCCAATGTTACGCTTCTGAAGCTGATTTACGTTTCAGTGGAGACATTTGGTATTGTAGTAACCCCATCTTATCATTATTGTCTTTGGAGGTCTTAAATATCCCTCTAGAATTCGGTACGGTAAGTACATTCCCATTCGGCTTCTTATGCTGTGCTGTTGCTATTTCCGGATCTTTTGAACTATGTGGACCTTTAGGAGTTTGTGCATAGGTCATCAGTAAGCTTCTGTTATCAGGCTTGGTAGAATTTGAGGTCTGTGGTGTACATGAGCAGTGATCACCAGAACAATTCTCAACGCATTCTGGTATTGAACAGTTGCTGTGTCCTTTTACTTCAGCCATAAGACTTTGACAGGACTTTAAAGCACCTTGAATCTCACGAGTTTGGAAGGAACCAGCCGTCTGGCGTTGCTGGTGAAGAAGTGATTCCAGAACTGCCAGTCTAGAGTAAATTATAATTGTTAACGATTGGTACGTAGGTAAAAATTACGTGCAACGAAATTAGTAACAAAAGCTATTAGATCGAAGTCCTTCAGCCGCTGAATAGACTGTACTGTTTATTGCACTTTTGCCTCAATGATTTCGTGGTTGTTTCCTAATGTTTCGTGCATAGTAAGGTTAAGGTTTGCGATTGGGTTAAAGATCAAGGAGAAACTAATCCACAAAAGTGCAATAAACAGTAAAGTGTATTGCCTTAAAGCCTGTTTTCCACTAGGCGGAATTTTGCGCGCGGAGCGGAATCTTTCTTTGTCTTTTCTAATTAGTTCCACCCGAGAAATCACAAGACAAAGAAAAATTGCGCTCCGCGCGCAAAATTCCGCCTAGTGGAAAACCGGCTTTAAAGAAACCTATCTTTAGTTAGCGCACTGCTTTTTACGCTCAGCTACCCTCTACAGTAGGTTGGGGTAGAGTATTATTTAGGATGGATAACTACCCTCCACTGATTTAATGTGCTTGAAAATTTAGGTATAAGTAGATTTGTGGTTGGTTGTCTCCTGTGCTGCGACTGTTTCTCCGGATCGTCCGTTTCTCTTCCCTCAAAAAGTAACCCTTCCACCTTAGCTGCGCTTCGTGGTCAGATATTGGTCGCACGTTGGAAGCAATAGGCTAAGCTGTGTCTATTCAGCTCTCAGCTGCAAGGAAACATTAGATCCTCCTAAGTATACCTTTCACTTTTATTTACCTTTCGATCAATGCTTTCATTTCTATCTCCATTTCTTCCTCTCTTTCCGGTTTTCGTGGTTCAGTCGAGTGAGAAAATTGATCTGGTGGCAACGAATATCGCCATGTTTTTCTGTCGTTATCAAATCTCCGAGGATCTGTTGAACTTCTTGGTCTGTATGATCCTCTGGGAAACGCACCATCGTGTTGTGGGCAATCTAAAGCCCTGGTTACAGAAAAAATAGTACATGTCTTACTCTGTCATTGAACATGTCCTACCTCCAGTCTCTGAAGAGATAATTTATTTTTCATTTATTATGGCAATATATAGGCAAGTGTCACTAACCACTATCGTGGAGCAGATTCGTATTAGAGAGGTATTATTATGATATAAGAGAAGTGTCTGTATTAGAGATGTGTCTGTATTAGAAATGTGTTTGTATTAGATATGTGCCTGTATTAGAGAGGTGTCTGTATTAGAGAAGTGTCTGTATTAGAGAGGTGTCTGTATTAGAGAAGTGTCTGTATTAGAGAGGTGTCTGTATTAGAGAGGTGCCTGTAATGGAGATGTGCCTGTGTTAGAGAAGTGTCTGTATTAGATATGTGTCCATATTAGGGAGGTGTCTGTATCAGAGATGTCCGTATTAGAGAGGTGTCCGAATTAGAGAGGTGTCCGTATTAGAGAGGTGTCCGTATTAGAGAGGTGTCCGTATTAGAGAGGTGTCTGTATTAGAGAGGTGTCCGTATTAGAGAGGTGTTCGTATTAGTGAGGTGTCCGTATTAGAGAGGTGTATGTATTAGAGAGGTGTCCGTATTAGAGAAGTGCCTGTATCAGAGATGTGTCTTTATCAGAGATGTCCGTATTAGAGAGATGTCTGCATTAGAGAGGTGCCCGTATTAGAGAGGTGTCCGTATTAGTGAGGTGTCCGTATTAGTGAGGTGTCCGTATTAGAGAGGTGTCTGTATTAGAGAGGTGTCCGTATTAGAGAAGTGTCCGTATTAGAGAAGTGCCTGTATCAGAGATGTGTCTTTATCAGAGATGTCCGTATTAGAGAGATGTCTGCATTAGAGAGGTGCCCGTATTAGAGAGGTGTCCGTATTAGTGAGGTGTCCGTATTAGTGAGGTGTCCGTATTAGAGAGGTGTCTGTATTAGAGAGGTGTCCGTATTAGAGAAGTGTCCGTATTAGAGAAGTGCCTGTATCAGAGATGTGTCTTTATCAGAGATGTCCGTATTAGAGAGATGTCTGCATTAGAGAGGTGCCCGTATTAGAGAGGTGTTCGTATTAGATAGGTGTCCGTATTAGAGAGGTGTCTGTATCAGAGATGGTGTCCGTATTAGAGAAGTGCCTGTATCAGAGATGTATCTGTATCAGATTTATCCGTATTAGAGAGGTGTCCGTATTAGCGGGGTGTCCGTATTAGAGAGGTGTCCGTATTAGAGAGGTGTCCGTATTAGAGAGGTGTCCGTATTAGAGAGGTGTCCGTATTAGAGAGGTGTCCGTATTAGAGAGGTGTCCCTATTAGAGAGGTGTCCCTATTAAAGAGGTGCCTGTATCATAGAGGTGTCCGTATTAGAGATGTGTCTGTATCAGAGATGGTGTCCGTATTAGGGAGATGTCCGTATTAGAGAGGTGTCCGTATTAGAGAGGTGTCCGTATTAAAGAGGTGCCTGTATCATAGAGGTGTCCCTATTAGAGATGTGTCTGTATCAGAGATGGTGTCCGTATTAGGGAGATGTCCGTATTAGTCAGAAATGTGTTCGTATTAGAGAGGTGTTTGTAAAAAGTTCGACTATGTATATTAATAAGAATCTTACCTCGAATTATTTACTTCGATAGGCAATGTGGCATGAGACCTCGCCGGAGTTTGCTCCCCGTTAAGACTGGACACACTATGACTTGGTAGTGTTGGCCGTTTCCTGTTCTCCGACGGTTTAAATATGATAATGTACACCTTGGGAACGAAGAGACACACGAGAAGAATAGTGGCAATGAGGGATATGCTGAGGCATCGTATACACGCCTTCAGCATGACGTCAGTCTGTACGAGATACACTGTAATAAATGCCAACCACAGTACGCATGTGCAATACATCGCAAACGCGATATACTTTGCTTCGTTGAAATTCATAGGACTCCGCCGTGTCTTGAACGCATAGTATGTGCATACAATGATCAACACGAAGTTATAAATTTGCGAGAGTAGGAAGTCTTTATCAGAGATAGCGCATATGAGTACAACGTCCGAATCTGATAGATACAATAATTTCTCTCGTGGTAACTGAAGAAGACAAAAGGCTGTGAGAAGCATTACTTGTACGGCAATCAGCACAAACGAGAAACAGAT